AACAGATTATCGACCGACTTAGCTCATGAGGGAGTTAAAGCAAAATATAAAGTTTCGTTTTAGGTCTTACAAAAGCGACCAAGCTTCCAGTACGTCAAACAAGAATGAGTGCACTGGCTGACAAATTGACCTGATTTAAGATGATGCAATTTTTCCTGTCCTGTTGACTACTATAAAACTAGTCGTGGCATCATGCAATGAACAACCGGATATTCAGGTGTCTGCTAGTTTTAAATTGATGTGTGCTCATGATTTACACTTTGGCATGAGTGGATGCAGCTAATACTGGATAGGCTTACATTGATGTAACTGGGGTATGCCCCAGTGCACAAACACCAGAATGGCTTCAATTTGTGGTTGTTTTCCAACTGTCGAACACGCACACTTCAGCTATGGATAGCCACTCATGGTAAAATCAGTTCATGGGAGTCGAACTGCTCGTAATTTGCAGGGTACAAACTTCGACATTACCAGTGACAAAACAGTCAGTCAGCACTTTTTGGTCTGCCGTGACCTCTCGAAAGAGCCCGTTCGCGAAATGGTGGGCGACTCACGCCAATTGGCACAGTGATGTAGGGGGACAAAATTACACGTGATTTGACCTAATGGAGCATGCGACATTGTCAGGATACTTTTTAGCAACATGCATTGCAATGTGTAGTGTCTATAATCCGTTGTCACATATTTACCATTTTTCCTGAACTTAAACTACACTTTGTAACTGTCGTACATATTTTATCATGACGTTTGTTTTAATGTTACGAATGCACAATTTTCCGGTGCGACCTGCTGACTTCTTGCTGAACGAGTGTATTTACGCTCCGTTGGACTGTTTGCTGACTGCTGAACCAGTGGGACTAGATCTCTGTGATTGCGTCAACTGTTGAACGTCACAATAAATCCCCGTGACATTTTTCAACCGTGAATAACTTTCCTAACGTGGAATATATCACTCAAACGTGAATCATACGTGGGAAATTTCTACGAGTGAATATTTCCTTTCACAGCCAGTTACTGCATTTGGATTGGTGTAGTGGACTATTGGATCTACGCATTCGCGAGTCCTCATTTGACTACTCATTCTCTTCTTATTGTGATTTTGTGATTTTGTATTGGCTACTTTGCTCGTCAATTTGTTCAAACACGCTGATAAGGTCCTAGTCCGTTACAAATGACTGCAAACGGTTGACCTTCTACGCGCCCATGTGGCTATGGGGCTCACAAAAAAATGAATATTTGAAGTCAGTGTAAGACAAGAGAGAATGGTACACGAAACAAACGGTTGTTCATTCATAAATCGTCTGACGATTAGAATGAAATCAAGCTTGAAGATCTCATTTAGTTTATCCGACAAACTGCAGCTATGAAAGCTTTTACCGTTGCTGTAACAACGAAAATCGAGTACATCAACCTAGATCACTGTATTGATAATGCCTTCGCACATTGCGTGCAGGCTAGCAAACTTGGTGATTGTGAACTTTTTAGTTTTATGCAGTGGCTCATAGAAGCCGTTGGATTGTAATGAGTCGGTGTGATTGACGGGTGTATATTTTGTGGATCTTTCATGAAATGAGCAGTGTGACGTCATGATCCACAAAGGACCAACTGGTACTTCCACAGTGACTAAAACAGAAGTCGGCATCAGTGCTAAACGTACAGACGTAATAACGGGGCAAATGTGTTATGCTACACACCTACGGGAATATTACGCAGTATGTCATTCGAAGTTAATAAGCAACCTACACACTCTACAGTGTGAGAAAGGTGAAACTGTTGTTGAACAAAGTTTGTTTCAACCGTCAATGTACTCTCCGAAATGAAAACTCCAAGTCCTCCTGTTACGAAAGAACCATCACCGAGTAATTTGGAACGCAACCCATTCTGATCCAAATGCTTGTTAACCGCCATCATCCCCCCTTGAAATTCAAAGCTGTAAGTCATTTACGTTTATCATAATTTTCATAGAAGAAACTACTCACAAGGTTGATGAAAACTCTTCGACAGCCCACCCTCGGTCTCGCCCTTCCACAACGGGTTCATTAGGCAGGCGCAGTCCCCGATTTTCCGTCAGTCCTATGTCCTAATTGAACCAAAATTGGACTGATTTCGACAAATACACGCATTTTCAAATCAATCTGGTATTCTCGAGAGACTCAACTGAATTTCTAGTTTATGATATTCTTCAAATGAATGTGCTACACAAAAGCCGCTCCATGTATCAGTTGGTACGATATTCGAGATATTGCAGTGCATTTTCATGAAGAAGACTGTGTATACCTGATGAGCCTCAAAAAGGGGCGAAACCAGTCGTGAGCTGTCGATAATTTGTTCACACTCCCGTGAATTATCACAACATGTATTGAGTTTGCATACTTCCGTCTGTGCTGCTTAACTTTGAATTTTACAACACAACTGACATTGTAGTCCAAAGGGTGAGAACTACACAAGTTGTATGAGTATTCACACGTTGAAGATAGTTTCCTGTGGACGTTCACGTGAGATGAAGGCTCTAAGAATGAAAAAAGGTTTAAATTATCGTTTGCTTGCTTAACGGAATTTCAGATACCGGTTTTCCAGTAGTCCCTTGATGGAACCAACTCATAATGGTTATCGTCTTGCAAGTTGAACATTGTGAATGCGAAATCCATATATTGAATTAATGAGGACAAAAGAACAGCGTATACAAGAGAGGGCAAAAACTGAAGATATGTTTTCCAATATTACGTAGATAATACTACAATAGCCACTGCGCGAATCAGTTCTTGGTTTTAATATACCTGTTTCTCATGGGGCCTCACACATTCGAAGCCATAGACCAAGGCAACTCGAGTGATGAATAGCCCATAAATATTGCGAAATACTGGAGCAGCAGTGCAAGCCGTATGGATTACAACTGCTTGCCGTAAAACCAGTTAGTTTAGATCAATGTTTAATGACAATGACCAATCGATGTTTCTTCTTGGTGAGTCAGTTTGTCAACCAAAACGTTCATCTGTTCGGTTTGTTTCAGCACAAATTTTTATGAAACGAAATTTTTGCTGTAAACAAGATTCTTTTGAAGGTACTTTGCTCTCAGAAGAGACAGCGCGGAACAGTTTACTTACGCCACAACACTATATTAAGTAATTAGTTAGTAGAAAATTTAGAACCTCCTGTAAACATATGTCGGCAACACCGGAATACTCAAGGTTTGGTACAAAAATTTAGTTATTCCTTAAACCCAGCCAATTAAGTAGTCTATATCATTTGAAGGAACCAAATAGCATATTACTTGCTAAATTAAAAGGTATACTAATTGCCCTGCTGAAAAACATATTTTTTGGCTAAATTGTCTGATGGCAGCATCAAACAGCGCCAAAGCTTGGCGGACCTACGACAGACAGACAGTCTAGTTTCACAGGTCACCTTAACATGGACCAAACTGAATATGAGGAAATCAATGAGGAGTATCTGAACACCCAATATTAATCAGTCAGACAACAATTCTGGCAGGCTAATGATACCCAGACAGAACCAACGTAACTGGCGCGTCTGCACTCCGGACAAAAACGACCGTGACCATGAATGCTTTGTGGAGGGGATATTGGGTAAAAAATAAGAGCTTCTGGGCAATGTGACAGGCATCACCTTATTCAGCTACGGTCATTCTCACTTCACAGTTCAGTGAACATGTGCGATTTGTACCACAGTGCTCACTATGCTTTGCAGCCAGGCGGAACCAAATAAATGTGCGTGTGTATACCGTCTGTGGTCCTTGTACTCATTTTTCAAGTTGTACTACTATCGACTACTTACAACTTTGATCCAAATGATGAAGTTTTTGGGCTGACCCACTAAAGTCTTTGAGAGGACCCATCAGAAAATCCGTTTCACATCAGCTCCCGTGATCGTGGCCATTTTCTTCGGTGCTGTACTGGTTCCTGGCCGCAAAATGCATCATTTATGGCAGAAAAGCGTAAAAGTGGTTAACGTGGCCGGCATTGAAGCTTACGTTATAATACTGTGAGTCATGCTGTGAGTTACAGGCACTGTCCGAAGTCATGTAGACGGTCCAGTGAATTGAGAGGGATACTGAAAACAGCCGTGGCCCGTATGAGGTTTTGCAAACATGCATATTTGAGTTAACGACGTGCAGAAACTCGGTGGTTTACGTGACCAGTCCACTGGACACTACTTGGTGGTCGGCAACTAACACACAGAGCACATTATCATCGGAATCCTCAATATTTTCAATAGTAATTCACAGTAGGTCCTCTAAATAGTATCACCAAAGGAGCGTTTTGTGGTTAGCCATATTGGACCCATTGTTATGCAATACGGGAGAATCTACTCCGGAATCACTCAGCGGTTTTCCATCCCGAAGGGACTGGCATCGAAATTTTTGAGCTCACAGAAAATCCAAATCTGGAGAACTGGATTTCGATTCTCGTCACCGTAGAAACTCTGGTCTATTTTTTAAAGGACATAGTTGTTTCACACTGCTACGGTAGGCGAAGGAAAGATATCTGTTTGGGTTCAATGTGTTGCCGATTGTGTCATACGGCAGCCGTCTTCTGACTGGCATTCCACGAGTGCAATACATTGTAACAAATTTCTAAATGTAAAACAGTTGGCAACACGTTGATGGTAAAGTAATAGAAGCCAGGCAATTGATCTATAGGTGATATCCGAAATTTCAGCGAATCGAATTCGTAAGTGACTGTTTGTTTGTTTGTTCTAATGTCCCGCATTTGATTACGGGTCACTTGAGTGTTTACAGGCTGAGTGCTTCGGAACAGTCAGCGGGAAAGTGTAAGTTTTCTAAATTTTGTCCCGATCGTTATTTTGCTAATCCTTACAAGTACGAATTTGAAATCTAAAGTGATTCGTGCATCAGAGAACCGAGTGTCTGTCCACGACCATATCACAACTGTCGCGTGTACCATTCCCCCGATACCTCCAGACGATATGTATGTCCGCCGAGGATTCTCGAACATGAAAATCAGAAACAGAAGATTCTCCTGATAGTGATGACACACAAGGTGGCAACAGCAGAACAGAAGATATTCGTAACCATTTGAATCACACAAAATCATTTTCAAAGGGAAGTTTAATAGAGACAATTATGAAAGGTTGATTTCCAGGATTATTCCTGATGACTGTTTAGAGTTTCCGACAATAAATAAGGTATTTCGGGTCAGTCATAGGCCAAACATGCTTGAGTACAACTCACTGCGGTTGAAGCTTAAGCACTGATAACGCTTTCGAAAACATTGAGTGAGTTCACCCGATAGTGACGCGAAGCAGATAAGAGAGGAAAAGTCCGATAATATAGAAAAGAAAACGTCAATGACGTATGGGATTGCGTTCAAAGCGGTCAATCATTTCAATCTTGCTGGGAACGTTTGCTCGTAAATTTCGAAGTCCACGAACTCCAGAACGAGTAGAACTCAGCTTTAAAACTGGCGCCAGACTTGTGGTACAACCAGAAGAACATTACGATCACTGATAGAAAAGCAACGAGGCAGGAGACTATGCAAATGCCTGAAATTTTCCAAACCCCTGCTCTCTTCTTGTCGATCTTCGTTTCAGGTAGCTTCGGTGCTGTTAAAAAAGGACAATAATCAATAGAAAATATTTTGGGAAGTCCGTATGGCAAAACACCCCGTTAAAAACGATCCGAACACAATGAATTTTAGGCCTTTATTATTAACAGACCTCAGTATGAGTTTTTGCTTCTTAGCATTCTGAACAGCTCAGACATCACTTGAAGACACATGATAAGCATCCGGTAGCACAATTTAAGACAGCGTAAAACCTATTTTGAGATAAAAAAAGACGACAAAGTGAACAAATGTCTGGTATCAAAAGCCTAATTGACCTCGATACATTCGATACATTCAACCTTGTCTAAGTTTGCTCAAAGCTCTTCGACAGCCCAGGACCGGTTTCGTCCTTCTTGGAACTTGGCAAGAGTGTACAGTTCCCGAGTTTTCCTCAACCTTATGTTTTACTTGAATTCAGTAGCACACTGAGCCGAAGCCGGCCATCATAAGTAAGAGCTTCACCTGGATTCACTTGAGTCTTCTACCAAAACTGTTATATCTGCTGATTCGTCAATCTGTGGTATGTGCTGCTGACCCGCTCCAGTGCCTAGTGCCAGAAAAAAGACTCACAGAGAGGAGCACAACAGCTTCATTCCGAACAAGCGATTGCGAGAGCGTGTGTGCGAGTGCGAAAAGTACGACGGTCTCAAGCTATTTATTAGAAGGACACTATCCGAACTTAGCCCAATGCTGTCGCATACGGTCTGGCTTTGGTACGAGGCTGCGACGTGCTGCGTATTGCGGGGGCGTTGTCTGACCTTGATCAACGCTGATTCTCGCTGCCTCGGTTTGATAAAAGACTGTGAGGCGCTGCATATTGAGGGGGCGTTTTCTGTCTGGTCAACATCTAGCGAAGCTGAGAGTCTCGGTAGATTTTGGGCATTCAGTGGTTGATTTCAGGGAGCTGACCTTCCTGATAAAAACTAAATTCGTGTAGTTTTCCGGCTATTCAAAATAAGATATGTGGGTGCATCCAGCTGAGATTCGCCACGGGATGAAGCATCTTATTTGTATTTGTTTTAATCTGAAGTATAGACGATACTCACACCACGTCTTCAAGCTCAGCGAGCTTACAAATTCAAGTTCGATGCTAGAAGGACAATCCCATTATTCCAGCACTGCTGACGTTCAAACGAGGAGGTACAAATACAACCCGAAGGTGCTCTTCTAATGCACTACCCTTATTTTGCTATATTTGCATTATTATGGCGCATAAGTGCTATGACACCCTAATGGAGCACAATGACTGAGCTACTATCAGCTTGCTCAAGCCTAGACAGGAATTGGGTTCGAACCACGGACATTTCGATCCGGAAGCTCGTGCTCTAACCAATGAACTTTCTCAAGATCACGGCGACGATAGCAATGATGACCAAGAGGTGCTAATTAGAGTAATGATGCTGATGTGGGGATACAGACCGTAATGGCGGGCTGATGTTGGTGAATATGGTAATGTTGCTGATAACGCACTTGTTGAAGATGATGTTCAGGAACGATATGGTCACGTTGGTGGGGATGCTGATGGTAACTGAAATGATGACAGTGAATTTACTGCTGCCTTTCTTGAGACTAGCCTGTCGATTTCTCAGTAACTTTCAGAACAAATACACGATTGAAGCTTATTTCAATCATATGATGTCATTGTTTTGTGACTAGGGTTCATGCCATCCATAGGGTTATGTAACAAGTTGGCATCTCACTACTTACACTCGGTGCCTCAGAAAAATGAAGGGCAACTAGAAACGGAGCATCTACACTATTGGAGTGCATGGTTTGAACAAGAGCAACAGCTATATTGTTATTTGACTCACCTAAATGCTTAGTTCCATGGCACCACCTAAATCTTTTGTGGTTTGACTCAGTATATAATAATAAAGAGGGCCGATTGAGCGCGTTTATATCTCTGCTGAACTAATAAGTTGCTTTTGTTCAGTCATATTCTGTTTACGGTTTCAAAAACAGTGCATCTGCTCGTTTTTTGAATCTCTCATAGATATTCTAGTTGGGCACAACTTTCTGGCTGGATCCTTATCGCTGGTGTTCAAAATGGTTACCTAGTATTGTTTTGTATGCCGTGTTTTGAGTTTATGGTACCTTCATTTGAAAACATATGGCTTTAAATCAGATGAGCGAAAACCGAATTCAGTAAAAGCAGACTACATAGGTAGCAACATGGTACAAGACATATTCGTTTTCGGAGATTATTTGCAAGCAAGTGGTCTTCCTAAAAAATGCAAAGCCCAAGATAAAAATCCGCATAGTTGTTCCATAAGTTCTTCCTGCCCTTGTGGATTCCATCTTGTCCGGCAGCGACGCATCTGTGTGTCACCATAGAAATAAAGATGTAAAACAAATGAATCGCTTCAGTATTTGAATCCATTTTGAAGACAGTACTGGAAACTGGTCGATGAACCAGGCAATGTCCACTCATACTTTGTTCCAACCAAATATGATATGGCACACTTACGGAAAGCTTCGGGTTTTCACTGGTCTACCATTGTTCTCCTAACTCTTCATGAAACCTGTAGTCACCTGTTAATGAGAAAAGAATCAGTAGCGCATACTGTGATGATTTTGTGTTTGCGCGATTAGTTGGCTTTGCTGTCGACGCATTCTCTCCGGGTTAGGACGTTCACCAAAGGTCACAGTGCATTCGTGACAGACTGTGTGGAGTTAGCGACTATTGCTGGGCAGTGAGGATTGACGGGTGCACAATCCACCTGATCTACGTTGGCAGTGAATAAAACAGACACTAGAGTAGGCCATCACCAAGTAAGCTCAAACACGGACGAGTAGTGCGTTCTGGAACGTTCCATTTCTGTAGTTAAAAAGCGTTAGTGAAAGCTAACCAAAGTTCACCATTTCCCTGGCTTATTGTGTTAAGTGAGCGCGCTAGGCAAAACGTGCAAAATGGAAAGCGAAGGAAGTGCACCATTAGTTCCAGAGCCAGAAAGTTACCTGCTTGCTGAAATTTGACAGACTTCTCGCACACAGCCTCTTCCTGCTCAGGCTTCGTTCCTTTTGGGGTGATCAATCTACATTCTTGCTCGGAATGTGTACTTTCTGCAGGCAGTGCGTGGAGTAGCTCAAAACGGAATGTTGCTGCCGAATCTAGCCCAGTCCACACGGCCGCATCTTTGCACAAAAACAGCTTGGGAATTTCAAGTTTATTTTTTCGATAACGGGTTCCGCTAAAAGCGTAACAGGATATTCCTTCACCGGTCATATACCCGGAGGCCAGTGGCGCCCGTATCTGTGAGTATGCATCAGCAACAGTTCCATCAGGAGGATAGAGCCAAGGCGAAGGGTAAAGTTTGACAATCTGGCGTCTCGCCAGATAAGGTGATGGTGGTAGGCTGTGACCGGCGGACCGCAGGATAGGCGCTAGAAATAGATTGAACAAGTGGAAAAATGCATTCACCACAAACAGATTGTGAGCTGTTGTGCAGGACGTATAACAAATCAATTTAAAAGGGAATTCAAAAGTATCCGTAATAGTCTTGAGGTTTGGAAGTATACTTAACCTCCGGTTACGCATTCACTTCTGCGATCATGAAAAATTAGGTACTCAGCTGGATGTCGCTACTTGAACTGGACGTCCTGCGTAGTAAGTCTGTAGCATGTTACCTCAATGAATGATTATCCTGATTTCAGTAACTCTGACCACATCTTTCAACATAAGTTGTAGATATCTGGCCAGGTGAGTCGTAGAAGCCATGACCACCTACGCGTTATTTAAGGGAAAATGCTTTTCGACTGGTTTGCGATTGTCCCCCGTGTTTGGTTTTGAAAAGCGCGAGCACATATGTGAAGACGAAGTTAGATTGGCAAACAAAATATACAGGAGAGGGCGGGAGACAGACGAAGACATGTCTTTAGCAGTTTTTCAGGTCGGGGTAGATCACTCCCGAAGGGCTTAACGTGGGAAGGTAGTTCTTCGTATGGAGCGGCAACCGGAGAACACATGACACTCAGCGTTTGGAGAAAAAACAAGTATATCCACGGGTGAAGCCTTGCGAATCAGACAGAAATGTGCATCCTACAAGGAGGATGAGAAGACCAATCTAGAAAGCCATTTAGAACCTCGCATGCAAACATGAAGATCCTGATATGGCAAGAATCGATTGATCACTGACAGTGGTTTCGGAAAATTCTAGCGGAAAATTCCACCGGCAGTCCTTAACATTTAGAGAAAGTAAATTTTGTAGGATAAAATCAGCGGTTTGTGAATTAAAAAAAACAATACTACAGTCAGTGATATTTAGAGTTTAGTTACCGACAGGATTGTATTCGGCAGTGCCTCACCTTAAAAGCCTCTGCTTACGTTTATGACTATCATCGTACCCATCTGATCATTCTTTATGAAAGATATCAAAGCAGATATCAATACCCAGAAGACAACCCAACCAGATGTTGGATACGTTTTCTGAGTACCCCGATTAATAAGTCTTGTGATTACAGTGAGCATCATGCGTGATCCAACAGGTCTAACAAACATTTTGATGACAAACATTTTGTTGACTCTTTTAGCATCACATCTGGCCAACTGAAACAAGAGGCCAACTTTGTGGAGCACATTCAGTTAGAGTGTATCATAAACGAGATATGCAGTTGAGTCTTCAGTGAAAACTAAATTGATTTGAAAGTGCGCGTATTTGTCGAATTCAGTCCAAATTTGGTTCAAGTGGGACACGGGGTTGACGGAAATTCGGGGACTGCGTTTACGTGATGAACCCCAAGAAAGGCGAAACCGGCGGTGGGCTGTCTAAGAGTCTTTAGTAAACTTGTGAGTATTTTTCTTTATGACAAGAGTTTTGGTTCATGTGAAACTTTGTGTTTCACTTGTAGAATGATTCAGAGCTCATTATGCAATGTCCATTGTCCGCATGCTGTCTGTAGTCTCATAGGTAGATCAGTACTACCCTGGTTTTTCTCAAATCCAGCTAAAAATATGTATGTCTCGCAACTTACCAAGAATGCAATCTTAAAGGCTGTATCGACAAAAATACTGTTCGGCCTCCCAAAAGTGCGGGATGAAATGAATGCTAAATCTAGCTTAGATGTGGAAAGATTTAGCCAATCGTTTCACACTAAACTGTGACTTTGAATAAAATTTTAAAAAAATATAGGTCGGCAAAACACCACTGCCAAAACCCACTGTCATAACGGACCGCAAGAAATTTCGCTGTAGACTCCACATCTAACTTTATTGCACTCGATGTTTAGAAAATCTGGTTCAGCTATACTCGCTTTGGATTTGTCGCACAAAAATACTCTAACTACGCCCACTGTTAGTTCTGGCCATACAACTGTCTTCCTTTTATCGAACTCCCACAAAACCTTTGCAAGTCGAAACTACTACAGAACAAAATCTGGTCGTTGTGGACTTCCTATTGTTTTCACATTCTGCTTGTTTTGCCTTCAGATATTGTTTGGGTAGAACGGAGCGCACTCATGCCTAACAAAACGGTATCCTATCAATTCCGGTTTGCGATCGATAAAATGATACAAAGTTCACTGGCCAGGATTGGTTTATTTAGAACTTACCTCTGTTAGAATAAATTGCCCCCAAAAATTGAAAACATGCTTTTGTTCAGTATTTATGCCATGAGATTAGATGTTTGATACTGTAACACGAGATTAGTGTTCTATCTATCACACATGTTCCGGTCGGAAAAAAACCTTCAATGCCTTTTGGCATGCCAAGTGTACTATGACCCTACATGGGCTGAAAATGACATCAGAGATCCAATAATTGTTTGATTAAGAATGCAATCTGTGATACTCGAAACCCAAAGTTAAACACGGTGGTAATATTCATTTAGACTTTATGATTGGGAGTTTCTGGTATACATTTTGTTGTTTTCAGCATTGAGACTGCAGTAGACCGTCCTACAAGTCAGGCAAATCTTCGTTTTCTCAGGATTTTCACCCGCATCTCTTAGATTTTGTCCAATTCAATCTGGTCGCTTGGTCTCGTTCAGCTGCAAGACCCTTCTGGTGCCTAGCTGTCACGCCACCCGAAGGAAGCATGAGGGCTGGGATACCGCCAGGTTGCCCAAGCGTAGACAGGGGAAGTCGAGAGGCAGAGGTCGGGCTCGAATCACAGACCCTCCGGTCAGTAAATTCGCGCTCTAACCCCTTGAACCACCTCACACTAATGGGTTAAGGTTCCCGTGTTCACAGTTTAGAAGGCATAATGCGGGAAATCTGACGCAAACACATCAGATAAATGACCAGACATCCTTTGTTATTGCCTTATTACTTCAGAATTAATTGGATTGCATAAGAAACTCCTTTGTGTGGGTGCTAACTCCCCATTAAACTTGTGGGCGGATGTTAACCACAGCCACCTGTTTTTCCAATTATTGCCGTATGAGAGCAAATGAGCTGGTTCTAGACGACTTTTAAGATAGATACAGGTGTTCTTAGTCTGGAGGACACCATTCGAATCACTGCAAATAAATAAATCCAATTCCTGTTTTAAACACCCCCTAGATGTAGCCACTGTGGTGTTCGGATTAAGAAACTTTGTTGTTTTCTTACACGTACTCAATCGCGGTTTAGTTATTCAACAATTCAGACGGTGTCAACAAGTCCTTAGTGGTCACGTGACGGTGACATCGACGCACATAAGTTTCATATCGGCTCAGTAAAAACATAAAAAAAACTACGGAAATTTACGAAATACACTGCAATCAGGATCGCCACGTCTCATGTGGTTTCAAGCATTTTTTCGTGAACGTTGAGTGGAATCTTTAGAAAACACTGCTCGACGTTGAACAGTCAGAGAAGTGTGCTTACCTATTCTAAGATTTTATAAGCTTCCCAACTTTTTATTTTTACCAAGAAGTCATAGCATCAGTAGACAAAGTCACGCCACTGAGATGGTCACACGCATGCCATGAACAAACAAAACCGCCTGAATTATTGAACGGTTGAACGAGCGATTGAGGTGCACAATCGATAGTACGCAAAAGACTGCTCTGATTAACGGCATGAGTGTTGACTTTGTCAAGTTATGGGCCATAACTCCCGATGCAAGGACGTTTGAACTAAACAAGAATCATGGATAGATAATATAGTTTAAGAGCAATGCAACTGCGGCGCACATCAACCCAATAAACATTGGGTTCCTGATTCAGAATAAATATCAAAAAATACCAGATGCGAGTGTAATCAAAGCCAGATATTTTCAGCATGAATAGACTTTTACTACGTTTGTGATATAAGCCGCAGTACATGTAAGTTGTAAACGCACGTGTTATCCAAAATAATCGTTGTGAATGACCAGCTGAGTGAGTTTCCACGCTCTTACTGTTGGGTTACTGTGCTTTTCCCTCTAATTCATACTTTGATCTCATTTTGTTTGGTTTTCGCACTCGTGTGGGTTTTCTCAAAAGCGCTTGAATCAGTCACTGCAGTCCTTTTATCATCACAGCACATCTGTACGGGTTCGGAGGTCACTTCTTACAGTATGATTTTATCCGTTGTCGGCGTGAACAAGCCTCCACTTTTAGCATCTGTCCTCTTAAACTCAAAATGCCAGTAGATTTATCCCAGTATTTGCCTTCAGCTAGATAGAGACTTTGGTTAGACCTGATCTGTCTCGCATCATTCATTTTTGGACACCAGTTGATGCCTACTGAGCCTCTTCAATCTGCATCGTGTCTTACATAACCAGAAGACTTTTAGCATGCAAATTATGGCTCCTTGAGTTAACATTTCTGTCCTGCCTGATGAGTTGCACTGCCGGCGGTCTGAAGCAGAAGTATAGTTCAAGCACATAGACATGCCTTTGGTTTCGCATAATCTAGAGGCTTCATTCTGTCTAGTAAAAGGCTTTATCAAGAGCTTCAATTTAGTGAACTTTTCAGACCTCTCGCACACAGCTTCGTTCTTAGTAAATACCTTTTCCTAAATGCAAGGAGCAACCAGTTTTTCTGTTGCCTGTTGTTTTGTAGATACAGCCCATATAGCACAAGAACTGAAACAACTAACACTAGTAAAATCCGATAGCTTCAAGAACTGTCCTAGTAAAACAGGGAGTTGCATGGCCATTTTATTATCCCAAACATAAAGATGAAGACCATTCCCTGAGTCCAAGCGTTTTTGACCACCGTGTTGTTGGTTCGGCGAACGCGACTACCTTTTCAGGTTGGGTGCTCTCTCATCATGTTCGAAGTCCAAGCATGAGGTTCTTTCTCAACGAGACGAACGTCGCTATACGGGCGTACCCACACAGTGGTTACTCCTACCTACTTTATCGAGTTCGTGTTAAGTAGTAGAACGTTCGTGAAGTGCTCACCACAAGAATAGTGCAAGGAGCTGACCATGGAGCGGATGACCAGCTTGTAAGAGCGACGGCAAACATCGGGCTGTGTAAGCCATAATTTACTAACTGCACAATCGAAGGTATAGAGTTGAATGTAACACTTCTTAAACGTTCCAAAGTCGAGTTGGTATGCTGCTCTTAACTGGGTACTCTATGACGCATAGGGCCCACGGATACCAGCATGGCGAAACCTGAATCGGTGGCTGTTGACAATGAGCGAAAAATAAGTCGGCCAAATGTGCTCCGACAAGGCATTTATCGGACAGAATGCGGGAACACAATCTCGTATCTCTGAGTGGTAGTAGGAAGAAACCAGGCTCAAGGGCGATTGCATCACATTTGACCGAAACCAATCATGTCATAGATAGGGAGCAAGCCTTCACCATCATGTACCGGGTGCCTCTGAACCGATCACGACTGATACGATCCAGACTACTATCGATCGCAGAGGCGATTAGAATCCCACTGCTGAATCCGCAACTTTGCATCTAAAAGAAACTTGTGCGACCTCTGAACTTGAACTGGCCCCACGAAACCCCGGTTCCACAAGCCTGTCTGGCATAGACGTCACTTACCTGATTCCGTATCCATTGACCTATCCTCATCCAAACCCCTCTCTTTGATTGTTATTTCTCTAAAGTGTATGTAGCCTCGATCTTAACCTTTCCGACGCGATTCCTGCTGCCATATAAGTTTGCGATGTATTAGCCAGAAGGAACAAGCACAGAAAACAAGCTTTGTTCGCTACCTTCTTCGTTCTCATATCGGAGATCGTTTAACATGGCGATGGAGTCACGGAATCGAAGTTGAGGGAAATGTAGCGGTCTGGTTGCAGCCCAAAAGCATTTCGAAATCCTCCAAAGCTTATTTATCGACCATTTGTTGACACCGCAAACGATCCAGGTTTTTGAAATCGAATTGAAGCATACCCGCACTACTGGTTTGAGAAGCAAAATATAGGCAGCTTGGGCCGTCAGAATTCGGTTGTGATTCAACCGTCAAGATCTCTGAATCCACCATCAACTGAAATTAACACATTTATGGCATGAATATCCCAATCAACTCCTAAGCATGTACACAAGCATCTGTTGGGCTGCCGTGGTTAGACTTCTTCAAAGAGGACTGGAACAGGCATAGCACCTTCTTATGGCCACTTAAGAGATACGGACAGGAAGCGGACAATCGTGAAGAGGAAAGAGACTGGAGAAGGCGTTTTCGCATCCAAACTCCTCAAGTACTCTGGTCTTAAACCGATCCCGAATACCCTTCAAAATGAGCTATTCATATCTGAATCCAAAGATTTCTTAATCGTATGGCTCTACTAAGCGAAATAAATCAAGGTTTTATCCGACAGTTACAGAGGCAGCAGCAAGGTGAGTTGGATTAGCAAGTTTCATATGGTGTTCAGTATGCTAGGCCTCGAAATGATGTGATAACGGTTGAATTTGTGCCCTTGTATCCTTGACCCTGGTAAGTTCAGCTTATTAAAGCCAGCGCGTACATTCATCACCACTAGTGACCATATTGTTATGGAGGTCATAGCATGAGAAGTTTAAAGGGAGCTCAGGTCTATCAGAGCTACCACTGTGCAAATGCACGGTCCCGAGATCTCAACACGCTCCTATTGGAACTCCGCGTTCAAGTATACCAATGTGTGAAGTGTACCGGGTCCTCTATCATTCGTCAAACAACTTTATCCCTCAAGTACCCAAGAAAACGCGCAATGGAGTACCAACTTTGACACCAAAATTGTGATAAACATAAACCACACTCACTTGTAAAGGTCTTCTGTGGTTCTACACTTCTCGCCCTCTCAGTTTCTTCAGAAGTAGTAAGGTCAGTTGAATCACCCATTGATGGTTTACTTGAGCGAACATAAAAAATCCTGTTCGAATTTCGCTCCGCTTTGCTTTGTTGTGGCCCAGGTGAGGTTTGTGATTCACTGGTGGTCCCTTCTACTGACGGTGTTTGTCGTCCAGGGGAGACAATCCTTACCGAGTGAGATCTGATATCTTCATTGACACTCTCACGTGAATCCTTTTCAAAACGTTGATTGGAGCAATTTGGAGATGGTTCCATAGACCTTGTAGAGTCCATAGAATCCGTCGTTCCGCTCGGACGGGTTCGTCGTTCAATTTTTACGGATTCTGTGAAGAATTCCTCACGTGTAATGGTCTTTTTTACGTAGGAGGCACCTTTAGGGCCGGAAGACTGAGTACGTTTTCGAACACTCTGTTCATCCGCCTCATCCTCATGAAACGCTGTAGAGTGAACTGATTTTATAGGCGTTGCCTTTCTGGATGGAGTTGGATCAGTTTCAATATTTCTTGTCTGTGGTGTTGTCCTTGCAGACCCGGACGTAAGTCGTTCAACTGTAATGTACGACTTTTGTGAAAGTTCCGAAGATGGGAATAGGGTAAATCTGGGTGACGTTTCGACCGTAGCTCTAGGTGGAGTTAGGTGGATTGCCTCATTTAATTCTATAGGAACTTCCACGTTAAGAGGTTCAATCAAATTGGGCCAAACAAACCGTTTTCTAAGAAGTGGACTTTCGGGCGGTTTTGTGCGGGTAACACTCCAATAGGAAGCAGTCCTGGTTGGTTCGGAACGCTTCTGTTTGGAACTCAGAGGAATCGATAAGGGTTCTAGTCCCCTAGTTTGCGAATGCTCAACGGTTTTTGAAGTGGACGGTTCGATTATTCGTTCTTCTTCGGTGCTTGAATCAATGAACGGGATTGATTCATCGGGCAGCCTATTATCGGTCCCATCAATAAGAAGTACTTTGTTAACTTTTGCTGCAAGAGAATTTTCTGCTTCCGACTGAACTTTGAGGCCTGAGTGAATAGTTTCCGAGGGTTGGCTTTGTGAGGCTGAATAGGTAGCATGATAAGACATGCCATTCTCGACTGTAAGTGGTGGCATTCTAGTAGACAGAATGCTGGCTTGTGTTACCTTCTCTGACAGCTTTTGTGTGCGCAGAAGAGCTGCGCTTTCCAACTGATCTTTTGGTTCTTTTCCTTCACTGCCAATCGTTATATCTTTGGAAATACCGGATCCCATACCATCCTCGGAACTATCCCTGCTTTCTAGTGGCAAACATTCACAGGGTCTAGTCGCATCCAGAACTGTTGCTGGAGAATGTGGCTGAGCTGCTGAAGAAGGCGTGATTTGAGCCGCATCCTGTTCGTCCGCGACTACCTTCCGCACAACAGTTACCTCGGTTTCGACTGTGCCATTGGTGCTCAATTGAGAATCAGTCTGTTCGACATCTAATTCAGCCATCACTTGAGATGCTGCATTATCCAGACTTGAAGAAATGCCATTACTGCCATTGATAACGTCTGGCTGCGGACAGACCGATCCGTTTACAACCAAATCTTTAGCCACCAACTCTGTCAAAACCACCGGTTTTGTAGCCTGGACAATGTGAGTAATGCGCGTGTCCAAGAGCCGCTCATCAAACTGCTCGGCTTCAAACTCTGGTTCGAGACTTCGATAGCCTGAGCTACTTGTGTGCCTTGACCGCGACTGGCTACGGCTTTTGCTACGTCTCCCACTGCGGCTCCGAATCGCTCGTCCATTGGGATAGGGTCCGTCGTTACCCTTAGAAAATGCACTGTCTAGCTCGTTTATGTCAATCTGTCCGGTAACGTGAGTATTTGTGCCAAGCCAAAAACTGGTCTCAATGGTTTCACATAGGCTGTATCCCTCGGATTGGGTAGACTGTGTTTTCCAAGGGGGGAAACTGAGCTGATCGTCCGTCATTGATTGACAGGGAACCCAAAAGTCTACAAGAAGAACAAAATGCCAACTTTATTGCCAGTTTGTAGGCAAATTTCTAATATTTCTATAAGGAATTTGAATCAACAAGAGGCAAAACGGAAGATAGTCTTCATCTTCGTACGACAGCTGATCAAAGCCTGCTCCTGATTTAAAAAAGTAAGTAGCAAGCAGAAGAGAACAACTAGGACCATATGCCAAATTTATATTCCGTTTCTGTATTGTCCACGGACAGATGAACTATGGGTAGACGTGTTTCACACGCAGAAGGCAAGCAAGACTGTTTGGGTGATTCAAAATGCATCAGAGTGAGTGCCCTTCCAGCGGGATGCACTGGTTATGAGACAAATGCATTTTAAGAGTGAATGCAACGTCATACAAAAACAGATATCTTTTATTCTGGATTCGTGGGTCAGCTTGATGTCTTGAAGAGGAGTCCAAGGTATGCTTGTATAGTGTTGTGGACCCAATTTGCTTTTCTGGCTACACGCACCTTTGTAAGTGATCTTGACTTCAAATGGAACTGTCTTTGCACTCTTGTGAATACTAATCAGGGCGAGTGATGGATAACATCGGGATATTCGAACGCAATAAAGGTTTTTTTGTGAAAATCTCAGGATGGTCCATAAGTCATCTTGACTTCAAATGGAACTGTCTTTGGACTCTTGTGAATTCGAATCAGGACGAGTGATGGATATCATCAGGATATTCGAACGCAATAAGGGTTTTTTTGTGAAAATCTCAGGATGGTCCAACGGAAGCATGACTTTTTGATCATACGTTCTGCAATAACAAACCTTGTCGACTAGGAAAACTTGTTTTTTGGTTTTTGGATTGACAAGAAGGCTAGACATCATCCAAAGGCAACATATAATCATGGACTGAGAGGAAGATTGTCTATATCCGAACAACTGGAAAACCTGGAGTTCGAACTGTGGATACCTGAAATTCAAACGTCAGATCTTGTTAGGCAGAATGGATTAGTTAATACCTGGGAACAAGCAACTCTTATTGTACCGTTAGTTTAACTGTCGTGTACACAGTCACAACCATACAGGACAATAGTTGCGAAAGTTCCAACCTGATGCTCCGCGTAACTCCTCTACGAATGAAGGCCAGACTGGATGCCATGTTTGGCTGGAATCGGTTGGTTTGAAATGCTGCCAGATCTGGCAGGTTTCTACTGATAATCCATTCACAGTGCAGCGCATCTTCAATATTTTATCCAAGTGACTTCACAGTGACTTCCATATAGACAAAACCCTTTCATAGAAAGATATCTTTATTCCAGAAAACACTTATTGAGCTCGCTTGTTCACAATGGAATCAGTTTGGAGTGAATACCTCTGCAAAGGGTGCATCCTAGCGGTCACCTGTTCAGGACCTAGTTTATCAGCAGGTGACAAGTTCGGATAATTTAGAAACATTCAAATAGACACGGTGAAAGTTCCAAGGAATGCAGAAGTTTGACTGGGATGTTACTGCTAGGTGAAGGCAATATCAGTATGTAAGACCTTTTCATCCTATGGCGTCTTAAACTTGTACTCAGAACAAAGGGATCCAAGTAATCATAGTTACGGCTTTGCCGCGACTAGCTAAACAAAACCTGAGCTGGGTAGATGTCATTGGTGTGAGAAACTGTAGCAAATTTTCTTTAGACACGCCTTAGGACCAATTTGTTGGAGTTTCTTCTCAGGGTCCCGTGTGCCAATAAAGTGAGCGGCTTTATCAAGCAACGGCTTAATGGTTTCGAATGTTCAACGCAGCTGCGCGTTGAATTAAATACAGACTAAATGGGCATTCGTAAGTAAATAAACCTTATTTTTTAAGTTGGGACACCCAAACATTCTATAATGTGAAGAGCGCAAGGGATAAATAAGCAGGTATTACATGAAACAGAATTCGAAGAAGGGTTAAATCGGTTGTCGTTCAAAATATCTAGAATATCGTCCTTACTAAAATATCGCAGAATGTCAAACGAAATATTAAGCCGAGCTTCTTGTTAAGAACAAAGTAATCTGCAGATAAGTTTGCTTCCTCGGAATCTTGAAGCATAGTTGGACAGTTTTAGAGGTGATGAACCAAGAAGGCACAAACTTGGAGGCCATTCTCATTTGTCAATAACAAGTGGGATTTTTTTCAAACAGAAGCGAAAGGCGATTAAAAAGTCCTATTGCGCAAACCCAATTTATATGAATGGTTCAGCCCCTCGGCTGGGACAATCCAAGGAATACCGATTGTTTCGAGTTGGGGCTGTATCGCAGCAACTGAGCTTGGGTATAGCGTTCGCAAGCTTAGGAGATGGACGGCAAACGGAATTTGATTCTACGGACTTCCGAAGTTTCACAAAGCAACAGTAAGATTACCCCCAATCCTCTCACTACCAGAAACATCCACATACAACTTTTCAAGAAATTATGAAGGCTGATGAAACACCTCACAAGCGGATCTAAATATTGAATCAGCTATGCAGGACAATTTCTGGAGAGACTGAGAAACGTGAGTCGGAGAAAATGAAATAATGGTGCCATTCGACGTAACTTCACTGCTCACATCGGTTGATCTAAACACGGCAAAGAGGACAAATGCTGAAATTCCGAAGAACCGGAGGACCATAAACGGATCACTCAGAACTGGAAAAATCTAAGACTTACTAGGTCTGTGCTCGAAAACTTAGTTTGAGGTTATTGGGAGACATTGTAAACAGCTCAAATGAAGGCCGATCGGATTGTTAATCTCTGGGTTCATCGCGGAAATCACAATGCGAAAACTGGAGCAGACTGTGCCATCAGACATCAAACCGAACTTATGGGTACGATGTGTGGACGACTAACTGTCATGAGAAAATCAAATGGTGAACAACGTTTTTCCAGACATGAAATTCACAGTGGAAATGGGGAAGAACAACAAATTAACGTTTTCAGATGTGCTGGTTACAAAGACAAGAGGCAGCCAACGGAAAACAAAAGTTTACACGAAAGAAATGCACACGAATTAGATTCTGAACTACTTCATCAACCATCCGAACTCCTACTGAAAGCCGTGTTCCATTCAAGACATTTACGGCGAAGTGGAACGTTGAGAAGAACCCACTTGAAACCAAAGGGAAGACCGGATGCAGTGGAGACGAACGTGATTTACAAACTCCAACCTGGGGCGGGAAGACCGGATGCAGTGGAGGAGATGAACGTGATTTACAAACTCCAACCTGGGGCAGTCACTATGCTGGTGAGGCTGGAAGAAAACTCGCCAGCAGAAGGCGTGATCCAGTGTCACATAATTCATTTGACGATGACAGAAAAGCACACGAGTTCAACTGGGATAATGCGCAAATGCTTGCTCAGATAAGAACAAAAAGTGTGCGGGAGTATGCCGGGGCTTGTTATTCCACCCAACCCGGTCTGCTGGTCGCGGGAACAAAAGAATTACACAGTTTTGGGACTCTGAACCACATGGGAAATCAAATAACCCAACGAAGAACAAAGCGGATCAAACAAAGAAAGCTGATAAAAATAGGTCATTAGATCAACTAATCAAGTGGAGCCAAATCCGACCACAAAGCAATAAGGAGACGGCCAAATCACAACCCAGGGACAGAACCGACGAATTAAAGATGCTCAACGAACCAACCATATTTGAGGAAATGGGATCACAACGCAACCCAGATTCTAGGCTGGCCAACCAATTTACGCAAAAGCTACTTTGGGACTAACCAAACGCTTTTGAGTTAATAGATACGTTAAGTAACTGTATAAGCGCAGGCATTAGAGGAGGAATTTACTTGCCCAACTTCACACTGACGATGCCACCACGACTGGTGATAAAACGTTTGCAGTCCAACCACCAAGATCAGCAAACAGGCAACGCACCCGAGCTAACTATATTCTACAGCGTCGCCAGTGCCGTCAACGATTCGCAAGGGATGAGGGAGGTAGTAGGAGCATGTGTTTGTTGCTTTCGACATCCTCATCAAAGCAAGTGATAGCAGGTGGTGAAATATATCAGACTTCCTCAGAGTCAAAGTTTCAGAATATATTTAAAAGGTAGCCCCTTGTGTGGTGCTTTTTTCGACGGAGAATTGCTGTCCACCACCAGTAAATACCTGGTATGGACGAAATTTTTGCAAATTTGTACGTCAATATATGTCCAAAACCTCTCCAACCCAAACTGGATTTTGACTAGAATGATGTAGTGGGATTTCACAGTTTACGTTGTCATAAGCTCGCCTCTGTGATTACTGATTTATTCAGACTGTTTTATCGAGCAGCACTGTTTTATCCCTGGAATTATGTGTGATACCGTGCTTCAACTATCACTGTTTAATTAATCACACCTGGAAGTTGAGCATATCACCGTTCTGATCTACCCCACAAAATTTGACCTTTCTGACGAGCAGTGTAATTGACGATTGTGTTGGTTAGACTAATGAACTTCAGGCGTGGTGGAAGTCCGAGAAACCAGACCAGCTAGTGTCGAACTATTGCATTCTAACCCAATGTTTTTCTTAACTCTACAGTCATCCACTATCGCGAATTTTTATTTCAACTTGAAGAGTCAGTTTACCTATCAAAACGTGGTTCGATCAATCATGGTTCCGTCTTCACACACAGAGATGACAACCAAGGGCCGCACAGACGAATGGTTGAGCTGCCCACACATATTGATCTCTGAAACCAGTTGGATGCAGTGCATCTAATTATCATACGGGAACAGCAAACACAACCGTTACAGCACAGTCATGCATCGGCTGTTGCACAAGTGATACGACCTATCAGAGGAATCCGAATTAATTACAAGAACCAGTGAAATGTGCCAAGGCCCTCCTGTCCAGAACAGCAAGTTTCTCATGCATGGACCAGGTGATCACCATCTGCCAGTTTAATTATTCACTGGGGCATGCAGATGGGTTTTTGAGAATGTGTGCAAAAAAACCAAAAAAAATCAATATACAACTGGGAGTTTTTGCTAAGTTTTTGTCTCGCATGTTATGAGTGTACCGCTTAGATGC